GGGGGGGAGGCTGCAAGGCTGGCGGCGGCTCCGCGGGCCATCAGTCGAGGTCTGGGGGGCCGGATTTGGCCCGCGGGCCTTGCTTTTGACACCTGTGGCTTATGTCAATCTTTTGAATGGGTGTAAGGATGTACTACACCCAATGGCTAATTGGATCATACCACTCTGATATATTAGAAGGGAGATGTTGTAAGCAACAGTCATAATTCTAAGCTTGGGAAACTGGAATATGTCACCAGGCAATTTAAGTACCCATCTGAAATGCCACTGCAAGTTGAGATACAAAAAAGGATTTCATGGGGGAGGAACTTTGCTCAAACGAGGGTCGAAGAACCTGGTGGTTTGGCCCAAGACATTGCGCTAATGTATTCGCAAAGGCTTTCATGGCCGGGATCTAATGGTTGTTGTGGGTTTTTCGGGCTCTTTGGCCATGTTCTGAAGGTTGTTCTTCCTAACGTTTCGCCAGTCTCTGTGGCCGGCATCTTCAGAGGACAGCACTCTGTGCTCTGGTGTAGTTGACTTGGGAGTGCAGTATTTATGGCTGAGAGACAGGCTTTTGTCTTTTTCTGTAGATGGCTAGCCATTGAAATCCACAAGCACCAGCAGAACTTCAACAAAAAAGAGGAAAGTGTGAAGCTCAACAAAACTTGGCTCCCAGCTCTCAAAAATACAGCATGCAAAAGATCAATGAACTCCACCGAGCCACAAGGACAGGGGATCACTGCACACACTGAGCACCCATCTACAGAAAAAGACAAAAGCCTATCTCTCAGCCATAAATACTGCACTCCCATGCCAACTACACCAAAGCACAGAGTGCTGTCCTCTGAAGATGCCAGCCACAGAGACTGGCGAAACATTAGGAAGAACAACCTTCAGAACATGGCCAAAGAGCCCGAAAAACCCACAACAAACATTGTGCTAAATTGAGGGCGAGCATCAAATGGTCCCTCTCATCACCCACGTATCTCAAAGTATGGCCCAGTTATTTTGGCACATGAAATAGAAAAATCACACAAGTTCCTCTACCCTGCAGTAACAGTGCAAATAATGACTTATTCAGCTGACCACTTGTTGCCCTTTTAAGACACCCAGAATTTACTGTCCAGGACAAACGCTTCACTCTGTTTCATTGGAAGGCCTGTTCCCATAGTCAACCCCCACCCCGGGATTGTAAGTATTTATACATGTTTGTAGTAGAAAAAAACACAACAGTGGGAGAGATAGCTGAGGAAACTCTGTTGTAGAAAGGGTGGATTTTTCAAATATCCTAGATACCAACAACGGAATACTAATTGAATTTAATGTTGTATTTCAAATAAACAGAGTCAGTCATCTCTATGAATTACTTGCCTAGGATGTCAATTTTTCTGTTTGGGATGCTGCTGACACACATCTTAATTGATTCTTCACTGCAGACATCCAGTTGTTTGATCTCTAAGGTGTTCCCAACGGTATTGCCAGCAGCTTCTACAAGGTTGTCCTTTTTGGCCAGGTTCCTCATTGTGGCATATACTGTAAGGAAGGAGGAAAAGGAGGAGAGGTCACAGACCATAACATAATAGTCAGGGTTTTTATTTGGGAATTATGAAAATAACTCCCTGGGGAAACTTTCTGAAGTCCTATAAATCCACCTACATTCCCAATTAAAGGGTATGCCCACAATCCTTAACAAAGCCAGTTGCTTGTAGCATTCTGGAAGCACCACCTTATGTATCTACTTGGAGTTGTCTCATTTAGTTTAATGGGTCTCACTCTGAAGTAAGTTGGTGTAGGATTTCAAACTTTAATATTGTATTGGATTAGGGTCAGAACATAAAAATGTGTGAAAGTAATTTTGTTGGGTCAAAGTGGTCAAGGAACAGACGTTTTAGAAATAACTTTACTTCGTTATATTAGAATGTTCCTGTGCTCTATAAATGACAATGATAAGTAAGAGTTCATTTCATATGTGCTAAAATGCTTGTAGATTAAGGAAACAGTATGTACCCTTCGTGCAGCTTATACACACACCCCTTCCTCTAATGTAGACAACGTAGCATTTATTGTTTTCGTCCTAAACCAAGGATAGTAACATATAGCTTTCCAGTTGCTGATGGGTAATATTTGCCATCACACCAGCCACTGGACATAGTGACTGAGGTTGATGTATGTTTATGTTACAGTTGCATGACCCCTGGAAGGCCACAGATGTCCTACTTTGTCCTAAACCAAGTAGCAGCATTTAGAGTTGGAAGCATTATTCAGTACAACTGGCTCATTTTGAAGGGGCACTACATTGGCAAATACTGAAATATGGGAAATACTCTAGGATTGGAACAGTTACATTCACATTTATTTATTTATTTATTTATTTATGTTACAGTTGCATGACCCCTGGAAGGCCACAGATGTCCTACTTTGTCCTAAACCAAGTAGCAGCATTTAGAGTTGGAAGCATTATTCAGTACAACTGGCTCATTTTGAAGGGGCACTACATTGGCAAATACTGAAATATGGGAAATACTCTAGGATTGGAACAGTTACATTCACATTTATTTATTTATTTATTTATTTATTTAGAAATATATATAATCATAAAAAATACTATATTAGTAATTTTTTCACTGACTACATGATGTACAAGTCAGCCCAGAGTTTCTCTCCATCTCAGTTTTTTTCTCCACCTCTGGGGCTTCTACTCTTTTTGTAGAAGTGTCAGTTCAAGGAGTGCAATCGCTAGACTTGATGCAGAAAAGCATGTGCAGAGATGCTGGTGGTTGGTAGGGTGGGGGAAAAAGCAAAAGGGTCACTTCCCCTCAAATATCTTAAGAGAGCACTGAGTACACTTTGGACCTTTGCTAATAATGTGTTTTGTTCATTTTAAGGCCTGGTGCCAGTGCTTCAACTAAGCTTAGGACATTAGTATGTGATATACAAAAGTATCAACAAAAATGTATCATCAACTTATATCAAACCATCAAACAATATATATTGAGGTTCTATCTAATACTAAGCAAATAAATAATAGGATAAAGTTCTCCAATACAAATGTCTGCAGTATAGTGTCCCTACTCATGGAAAATCAAAGTCTCTAGGCTCTGGAAGTGTTGAATAAAGAGTCAATTCAAATATGTAGTCAAGGTCTTGGATCCTTGGGGTAATTTGATGAGCTCTGAGCATAAATAATTGTCCACTAAGCTGGTTTCATGGTATTTTTACTTCTTCAGAAGATATCCCTTGGATGTAATTAAATTCCACATGGTAGCATCCTCTTATCCGTATGCTAGTTCTCTGCTGTAACATACGGATAAGAGGACGTTAGTATGTGGAATTTAATTATATTGTTCATGAATGTTCCTGTTACCAGCATATTGGAGGTCCAAGTGATATCTTCTGAAGAAGTAAAAATACCACTGAACATGCTCGGAGCTCGTCAAATTACCCCAAGGATCCAAGACCTTGGCTACATATTTGAATTGACATTTTATTAAACACTTCCAGAGCCTAGACTTTGATTTTCCATGAGCAGGGACACTAGACTGCACACATTTGCATTGGAGAACTTTATGTTTGATTTTCCACGAGTAGGGACACTATACTGCAGACATTTGCATTGGAGAACTTTATTCTATTTTTACTTGCTTAGTATTAGACAGAACATTAATATACTATATTGTTTGACAGTTTGATGATACTTTTGTATATCCCATACTAATGTTCTAAGTTTTGTTGAGCTGCAATACAGAGTTTCCTGTGTTTGTTTTTCTTCTATTCCGTACTCCCTAGATTTTGATAAGTGCTTCAACAAAGACAGGAGGGAGGGAAGGAAATTGCTAATCAGCCCTTCTTTTCAGCTTGTTAAAGTAGCTCTGCTGTAGCCATGTCTGCTACAAATCTGGACAACAATAGAAGCTGCTGTAACAAGCTGCAAACAAGAGCTGATTGTCAATTTCCTGCTCTCTCTTGATTTCTGTGTGGTTGGCTAAAGTGTATTCACCCAGAGAAACCCAGCTTCCTACCTGTGAATTTACAGCAGATCCACTGTAGCTGCATATTAGAGTCATTTTTCCCCAATTTTTCAGTTACCAGCAATACAATCTCAAGCTATTTTCAAGATTTAGAACAATGAGTATTTCCCCATTTGAAATAGAGAAACTGAGGAGATTAAGTATTGTCAGGTCCTGTGGCACATAACTGTACCATTCCGTATAGTTCCTTCAAGAACAGAGGTGCAAAACAGTGTCTCTTAAGATGTTCTGAGCTATATCCCTCATCTACCCTAGTTAGCATAATCAACTATAAGCAGTTATGAGAGTTGTAGTGCAACCAAAAACTACAGTCCCATGCATTTCTCACCACCTTTCTGGATAGTCTTCAGCTCCAGAATAAACATTGTAACAATGCTGGAAGGTAGAAACATTGATTAGTAACATTATATTGCACAAAAGTTACCTTTGAATCTTTTCTGTTCATCAGTAGCCATTTTGATTGCCAATGCCAACCCAATTCCTGAGGAACAACCGGTGATGAGCACAGTTTTTTGAGCCATTGTGGATGGTGATAGCAGACACAAAGATTTCTTCAGATAATCTGAAGGAAGCCTTCTAACTTTGAAGCATAAGAGCTTGGTATTATCATCCCTGAATGCTTTTATCCATGTGCTTGTGAGAGTCAGCAGATCTAAAAATGCACACCTAGGCATTAAAAAGCTAAGAGGATAACCTCCATACAGACAATGACAGACAATATCAGATACATATGGTTGTGAACTGCGGTTGTGTAACTTTAGATATAATCCGGATCAAAGTTTAGCTTCAAAATTCCAGCTGTTTTTAAAACAACAAAATATATAATGCCTAAAATTCCTTGTGAGAAATTAAGAAAGCTTGTTGGGAGCAAAAGGAGATATAGAATATTGGTTTTATCCTGATGTGTGTATATGGAGAGAGAGAGTGTCCTTAGTTTTCAAATAAATCTATTTTCATTACATTTACCATTTGGGAAAAAGAAGTAGTAATGAGAGGCTAAGATTGAATTAATAGCCTGTTGATGGATGCTTAGGTGACTGACTAGCCCAATATGAGCCCAGAATATAGGGGAACAGCAGAGGAAGGTTAGCTGATCCTGGATTCATTCAACTGTTTAGATATTTCAACCTTGTTTTCTCATTTATCTTCCTTTGTGTGTCCTTGATTCTCTTCATTTCAGAACCATCTTTTAAAAAACATTTTGCCAGATGCCTTGGTCTTGAGTGAGAGCTTTCCAATGCGTATAGTCAATATGAAAATCCTTCACTGGTATATCAAGGATACATGGATGTCTTCTATGTATCTTTGAATATTCTCCTTCTTTTTGTTAGTATGGAGTTGTCTGCTGGAGGATTAGCTCTGAAACTTATAGTATGGGAAGCTTGACTGAAGCTTATGAAATCATAAAGAATGTGGAATCATTGGCCAAAGATATATTTTAATTCCTCTGTCACAACTGTTAACTAAAAAAAAAACTGTGCCAATCAAACATACACTGTTGTGTGAGCTCAGCGGCAAGGTAGCACCCCACTCCTCCATTCACAAGCCGAGTGGAGTGTCAGAGTGGATTTCCATGTTGTCCAAAATGGAACAACATATTTCATCACCCCATGAAGGCAGCAGTCCTGTTTGGAAAGATAGGAGAGCCTATGTGACACACCATCACTGCCCTCTAACAGACAGGAATGGGCAGAGGGCTCCAAAGGAACAGCTGAATGCGACACACCATCACAGACAGAAATGGGCAGAGGGCTCCAAAGGAACAGCTGAGGAACTGCTCTTGCTATCCCACAGCACCCTCCACTTAATGTGGCTGCCTCACTTTGACTGATGGTAGGGACAGGTGTGCAATAAACCAGATTTGCACTTGATTCAGAACAGACAAAATGAAGTACTTCTTTATGTAACACATTTATAGAATTTACAACCACAAAATATGGTGGTTGCCTCTTGAGACAACAAATATCCCTGCTTGGGCTCAAGCAGACTTCTGACATTCTGTGGTGAGTGTGTGTGCCTCCCCCACACTTCTGGGAATCACCATCACTGTTGTAAAGATCATCCATAGAGTACCGTGTTTCCCCCAAAATAAGACAGGGGCTTATATTAATTTTTCACTCAAAAAAAAAAAAAAAAGCATTAGGGCTTATTTTCAGGGGATGTTTTGTTTTTTTTCATGTATAGCAATCTACATTTATTCAAATACAGTTGTGTCATTGTCTTCTGGTTGCTGCATAGAAGACAACTCTTACTTAACTGGGGCTTATTTTTGGCGTAGGGATTGGTATAAACTGAATAAAAATATGGAAAAATTGCCAAAGTGTGTGTATTTTCATATGGATGGGGATTTTCATATGGATGGGGATTATGGATGGAGGAAACACACACAGAGACTTTGTGATAGGCATTTTGTTGTAACAGAAACCAGGTAGGTCTTATTTTTGGGAAAATAGGATAAATAATTGGTATAAACTGAGTAAAAATGTGGAAACATTGCCAAAGTGTGTGTATTTTCATATGGATGAGGATTTTCATATGGATGGGGATTATGGATGGAGGAAACACACACAGAGACTTTGTGATAGGCATTTAGTTGTAACAGAAAAAATAACCAACATAGTTTACATCATTTTTTAAATTAAGTAATAACAGACTAAGCCAAAATATTAAAAATAGACTTCACAAAACCTGGGACATTTGGATTTCTTTTTACAGACAAAGGAACTCAGTTCCTCAAAAAATTTGCTTCAAAGCAATAATCATAAGAAGAATTGAGGAAAATGTGGCAGAGGATTAGAAGCTGCTATAAATAACTATATACATGGTTTCTATAAAATTTCCTAAGAATGGGATGCCATCAAATCCATCTATGGTTAAGTGCTTGCCAGCATGTTGTTTCTTAATATTTGCTCCTGAATGAAAAATTTGCCAATTAATGCCCTGATTAGCAAGAAGATTCAGAGATCTCAGGTTCTTATTTCTATTTGTTACCAAACATAAGATAAAATACTGCATGTATCTTAACCTTCACATAGATCTAAGGTTTCTAGAGTGCCATCAAATCCATCTATGGTTAAGTGCTTGCCAGCATGTTGTTTCTTAATATTTGCTCCTGAATGAAAAATTTGCCAATTAATGCCCTGATTAGCAAGAAGATTCAGAGATCTCAGGTTCTTATTTCTATTTGTTACCAAACATAAGATAAAATACTGCATGTATCTTAACCTTCACATAGATCTAAGGTTTCTAGAGCCCAAATGTCTGATATGATAATATATTTGCTCCTGAATGAAAAATTTGGCAATTAATGCCTTGATTAGCAAGAAGATTCAGGGATCTCAGGTTCTTGTTTCTATTTGTTACCAAACATAAGACAAAATACTGCATGTATCTTGACCTTCACATAGATCTAAGGTTTCTAGAGCTCAAATGTCTGAGAAATGTTTTAGTTATCATCATCTTAGTATATAAAACATTTGTACCCTGAGTATCAGCCTAAAACGTTATCTGAACTAAGCATGCTATTCGAGTTCTCTATAGACTCTATACACACACAAGGGGCAGAACCTTTTTGGTGGACAATCCTGCTCGTGTGTTGTTCTTCCCCAGGATGCATGTATAATCTTCCTCACCGTTGGTCTGCAAGGATGTAGGGATCCCAGCCGTAAAGTTCCACATAGGTTGTGATCATAAGCTCACTTTTTCATTGGTTAATCAGGAATTCATATATTTCACTGGGTATCTAGCCTCCCCATTACCAATAAATGAGAAATAAAACAAGAAAACAAGCTCAACAATTAATAACTTTAAATCAGGGATGGCCACTTAATGTCCAGAGGTTGTTGTATTACAACTCCCATTATCCCACATCATTGGATATGTTGGTGGAAATTGGTGGAAGAATCAGTCCACTGGACAGGCACATTGTATCCAAAGCTAGTTTAAAATTTTAATAGATATTTTTAATTCCAACAATCTAAAACAATGCAGCCACATCATTTGATCAGCTGTACAGTAGTACTTGAAGCAAAGCCTGACCTATAAAACAGTGGAGCTGATATATGAATAAACATGCACAAGTTCAAGCTATTTACCTTTAAAAAAATAATAATACTGTCACATTTTGGACCCAATACATAAATGATCAGTCCGAGAGGTATTCTGAATAGATTTAAAAATGACATCCTGTGGGTGGAGTCCACTACTTCTAAGTGTGCTATATTCCATTTATTAAAAAAATTACATGCAGAGGTACCTACTTAGATTTTTCTTCACATCAGGTGAAAATTATAGGGAAGAACTTTCCGAAGTCTTCATCTCCTTGTTGATATATTTCAACATGCCACTAAGTGTTTGAAAGTCATTACTGTCACCAGACAAATCTTCATCTCCTATGTGTGTCAAGGGATCAAAGGAGGATTCATTCAGACTATCTGGTAAAGGATGAGTTACGTCTTTTGTCTCCCCACAAGTCACTGAAGAGTGTAATGTAAATAATGGCTTCATATTTAATAAATTCTCATTGTTTTTAATGCTCAGATGGTTGCTGCTTGTAGAGCAATGCAAGTTTTTGTGAGGAGAGCTAGAAATCTGAGAATGCTTGGTGGCAAAGTCCGGTTCTTGGTCATTAGACCATGGTGGGATGGATAGCTGCCTGATGCCTTCTGTTCTTTCATGACCTCCAATTCTAGCTTGTAATCTTGTTACTTCAGATCCCTATAGTGCAATCATCAAAAAAACAAAAAACAAAACATATACACATTTCAATAGATATTATTCGATTATATGATGTTAACAAATGACTTCTTATGCAGTCGAAAAAGTTACTAACAAATTGAACATATATATTCAAGCATATGTATATGAGAGTTGTGGGGACATCAGGGACCAAGAGAGGATTCACTGATAAAGTACACGGGGGGAAAAATTAAAAAGAAATTGGAGGCCTCAGAAGGAGCGTGTCCACCATGGCCAATAAATCTTGCAAACTGTGCACTGGCCTTCCCCTTACAACCACTGGAAAAGGAGCGTGGAGAAGGTGTGTCCTTCAGGCCAGTTTCTCCTTCAGCTGTGAGGGGGCAATTATCCTTGCAGCTGAAAGGATTTTGTGGTGGGGTTGCCAGTGGAACTGGGAAACAGAAGGGAGGCACTCTGCAGGCTGCTTGCTTTACTTCAACACAGATATCAGCTTGCACCTGCAAACTGTCCTATGTTTCTGAAGCTCCCTGGCATCCTGCAGGTAATGCAGATGCAGAGTTTTTAATCTCTGTTGACTTGGGGGGGGGCCCAGAAGGGTAGCTTCAATTTTTTTATTTTTCCTCATTGAAATGTAATGCAGGTAATGTAGATGCAGAGTTCTTAATCTCTGTTGACTGGGGGGGGGGACCCAGAAGGGTAGCTTCAATAGCCAATATTTTCCTGCAAAAATAGGTAACAGTGGAAGGGGATTCCTCCTCTTGATCCAACCAAAACCTAGTTTGGATGAGGGCAGAACTCAGCAACCTTGTTCTCAAGAGGGAGGGCACCCAGACCTGGCACTATGAACGAGGATAATGAGCAAGGGACTCAATCCAGGGTAAAACCAAATCTAGTGGGGAGGATCACCACCACCTCTATACTATCAAGCCGGTTTTTAACTAGCAAGTTAAACCTTGCTCAGCCTTGACCGCCCTCTAGGGTAATTAGAAAAGCTGCTGAAACTATTTGTTAGTTAAGAACCAGACAGAATGACCTTGCTTAAAGAAAATAAGATAATGCAGATGAACACCCCATAAGAAGGCCTATTGAAAACTGTCAAAAATACAGTTTAGAATGTGAAACCCCCTCAAAGCTAGGCCTCAGAAACAGGATGGCATTTATTAGGGTCTGAGTATTTTTACAAAGCACATTCAGCAACAATATTTTTGCCATTTTCACTCAAAACGCAATTCAAGGAGCAAACAAATACTGAGCATGATGAAACAGTACATTTCTTCATCTAGAATTCAGAGACCATAAGGAAACTATATGGGAAAGAGACAGATCAGCAGTAGCCAACCCCATCTGATATGACCCAAACTAGCAATGTAGATATCTAATTTCAGTTTAGAATATTTCTTTGTTTATCAACAAAACAAAATTCAATAATTTCTCTTTGTCTAAGGGGTTTTAAGCTACACTACCCTGCACCAAACAAAATATTGCTGTGTTAACTCACTTTAAGAAGAAGAGCTTCATTTGCGGCTTGGATTATCTCATTTCTGGATTGAAGCTGCTGCTGCAGATTATAGACTGTTCCTTGAGCTTCATCCAGTTCCATCTTTAGCTGCTGCAACTGTCCACGAACATGATGAGATTTAGATAGTGACTGCCTCCATTTTGTCTGCTGTGCTTCATATGAGAGCTTCTGAAAATTAAAGATACATTTTGAATAAAATGTTCCCCCTTACTTGTTACTTCAAACTCAGTGTAAACCTCACACCGGAACAATGGATTTAATTTTGTTTTTGTCACCGTGAATGAAAATTAAGTTATACAATTCTTTATTAAGGACATTATTGGTCCCACTAATAAATGTTCTGCGCCTTTACAGTTTGTCCAATGACATTGGATTTACTAACTTCCCAAAAATGCTAATCCAGTGTTAGATTCAATTTAATATTGAAAGGTTAGTTTCACTGTTAAATTAACAATTAATGTCACACATTTTCAGAAATGAGGATACAAAAGATAGAGATAGGTGGAATTAAACCACCTATTAAGGGGAAAATAAGAAATTTTGGTAATATTATTCTGGGGATTTTTGCTTTTAGAAAATAACACAATTGATAAATTGTCATTTTTTTAAGAAAAAGAGGGAGAGGAGGACCATAAAACTTTATTTTAGGAAAGGTCTGTATGTTCTTCCTAGCAACAACAGTCTTCCTTTTCAATATGATATACTGCAGCTTCAATAGTCTGAAGAACAATATGAATAACCCAGTTCTCATATGCAAATGCAACATAAAAAGATTATAGCAATTTTGTTATAACCTCTGACAGATAAGACTGCTTTAGTGATTCTATTTCTGCAGAGAGCCTCTGAACATTTGCTTGCATTCTTGCTTCTAACTGCATTTCTCGTGCCTGAGCCGCCCCTAGTTCTTCTGCCAAATGATTTGCACGGCTTTCCTGAAAGAAAATTGAGCAACAAAGAATATTTACACTGAAATTTTTATACATATAGCACTTTGTCACTTTCTCTCATTAAACACAACAATGGCATTTTACAGCGAATGTCTACGCAATACACGCCATATGATTTTACGTACCAGACAGAAAACTATCACTCATTTTTAACACAAACTCCAAAGAAAATGAACACTTAAAAATTTATATCCAAACAAAC